CAGACACCTCATTGGCAAACTTCTTTATCTAACTATCACTCAGCCTGACCCGGTCCCAATTCATGGCTACACCTCGGGTTCCTCACATGCAAGATGTGCAACGCATTATTGCCTATTTTAAATATAATGTCGGCCAAGGTCTTCTGTTCTCTGCTACCTTCACTATTCAACTCAATGTTTTCTCTTACTCTGATTGGGCTGCATGCCCTGAAAGTCGAAGATCTATTACTAGCTATTGCATCTTTTTTGGTGATTTCCTCATTTCCTGGAAGTCCAAGAAATAGCCTATAGTCTCTTGTTCCTTTGTTGAGGTTGAATACATGTCTATGGCAAATGTCACTTGTGAGTTTCTCTAGTTGTTTTCATTACTTAGGGATCTGTATATTTCCCATCCTTTACCTGCTCATTTATTCTGTGACAATCAAGTTGCTCTCCATATTATGGCTAATCCGGTATTTCATTAACATACCAAACACATTGAGATTGATTGCCACATTGTCCTCAAACAAATCACCAAAGGCAGACTTCAGACTTTTGTTGTTCCCTCTGCACAACAACTTGCTCCTGGTCTTTTCTTTTCACTTTTCTCCAAGATGGGAGTTCTCAATATACACTCTCCATCTTGAGCGGGAATTTTACAGTATATTTTTATACACAATTCCTTATTTTTTTATTTTTTCTCCTTTTATTTTTTTGTCACCTTATCAGTGGTTATAACTGTCTAGCACCATTTACGGGTCTAGTGCGTAGATTCTTGTTATATTTAGCTATCGCACATTTTGTAAGACTCGATTTTTTGTAATACAGAAAATGCTTCTTCTTCCTAATTTTCTGTGGGCTTTGATATGTAATAGATAGAATTATAAATGCCCATAACAAAGATTATGATCTTTATTACCGGGGAAGTTACACCCAACTTTGATATTTCACTTATATTTTACAACCTTAATTTATTAATTATGTGAATCATTAAATATAAATGATAAAAAGAATAAAAAAAAATGTGTGTGTTGATTTTTCACTTATATTTAATAACTCTAATTTATTAATTATGTGAATCATTAAATATAAATGAATAATGATTACAAATAAATAAATATGCATGTGTGTATTGTCTACTTTTAAGTAATTTTAAGTGAAATCAAAGTATTTTACTTTAAGAAAAAAATAAACAAAAAAATTCCTTGCTTCAAAGTTAAGATGACACATGAAAACAGAGAACGGTCCTAATTTCCTCTTTGTAATAGAGGAAGCAATCAAGTTTCTAATTAGAGGTGTACAAAAATATGAACTAAATTGTAAAGTGAACTACACTACACTTAAAAGAACTGATTTTTTAAATCAATTCATGAACCATATTGATTAGTTTATTCTATTATTTTATTTTACTTTCTATTTTTTCTCTATTTTCATTCTTTTAATTATTTATTTATTTAGTGCCTTTTTTATTATTTTATTCCTTAATTTTATTACTTATATATTTTTCTATTTCTTATTTATTTTTCTTTTTTCTTTTTATTTTATTTTTTATTGTTTATTGATTTTTTTAAAATAAATAGTATTATTTATTTTTATATTTTTATTTTCTTATATCTTTTCATATTTTTCATTTGGGTTCAGAATTAATTTTTAAAACCAGTTCTAGGGTTGTATAAAAGAATCAAAAGGGCTAAACTACATTGCAGTTAAAAAAATAATTTTTAAAAATCACTTCATGAACTGAACTGTCTTTTTAAAAAACCTGGATTGCAGTTCCTGCAACTCCGATTGATTCGAAGTTGAAATGCGCCAAATTTTTCAGCCAAATCCTGAACGCGCATTGTGAATTCCTTGTTGAGCCCAAATCGACGAAAGCAACAATGATAAGGGACGCAAACCCTATTGATGGAATCTCAATGGAAGAACAAGAAAAAAACATAGAAAATGAAAGAAACGAAAGGAAACAAATGATTTTTATTCATCTGATGGATCCACTCCCTGGACATCGTTTTCTTTATTACATTTGCTAATATATGGCTATACAAATGTCACATCAACAACTAGCACTACAGTTGTACAACAACTAACACCACAGTTGTACACATTACACAGTTTCCTCATTCTATTGGACCAACTCAATCTATACATCAAAAACATAATCAGTGGCCCATGAGGGAGCACCAGCCCTTCTCTTCTGCTTAGGCCTATTTTCCATAGCCTTAACAGACTTTCATGGTCGCCTTCCTCGCATGACTCATGTTGCTCATGCCTCTTCTTATTCTCATTCGTCTGTTGTGCCACAGTCACCTCCGACACAAGTAATGAAATGGTATGAGGAGTGTCACGTCTCAGGTTCCACTGCCTATGTTGCACACACAAGTAATTCCTTTGCTAGTTTCACTCAGTCGCAATCTCTTAATCATTGGATTCTTGATTCTTATGTGTCACATCATATTTCCAGTAATAAGTCTTTATTCACTTCTCTCTGTACATCTGGTTTATTTCCCGCTATCACCATAGCTAATGGTTCGTTGGTCGAGTCCATTGAAATTAGCATTAGAAGGGCCGGCTTGGCTCAGCGGTAAGCTTGCTTGCCGTGGTAAGTCAGGTCGCGGGTTCGAATCAGCCTCTCTGCAAAAAGCAGGGGAAAGACTGCCTAGAGTATTCCCTTCCCCAGACACTCACGAAGTGGGTATTTGAACTGGGTCGGCCCTATTTCCATAGATATGTGTTTTATGTTCCCAGTTCTCTATTCAATCTTCTTTTCATTAGCCGCTTAACTCGGTTCTCTTGATTGCATTGTTTCCTTTACTAAGACTCTCGTGACTTTGCAAGAACGAAGTTCGAAGAAGAGATTGGCGCTAGATCTAAGTCTAATGGCCCCTATCAGTTACTCACTTCATCCTTGGTATGCTCTGCAGTTGATTCTCCTATTACCATTCACGCTCAGTTGAGTCATCCAAGCCTTGCAAAACTTCAAAAGATAGTGCAACGTTTGTCTACTTTATCTAGTCTGTCGTGCGAGTCTTATCAGTTAAGGAAACATACTCGTAGTTCATTTCCCGATCACATTATTTATTACACTTTGTCTCCTTTTACTCTAGTTTGTTCGGATATTTAGGGCCATAGTCGTATTGTATCTACTATGCGGTTTCGGTATTTTGTTACTTTTATTAATTATTGCTCTCAATGTAGTTTGTTATTTTTAATGAAAATTCAGTCTGAATTATTTTCTATATACCAACAATTTTACAACAAAATACTTAACCAATTTGGTGTTTCATAATGATAATGCCCATCAATATTTATCCCCACAACATTCTTCACCAAACATAATGTTCCCAAATGGGGTCGTTAAACACAAAAACTATAAGCTCATTGAATCTACTTGGAACCTTTTACTCCATGGTCATGTCCTCTGCCACTTTGGGGTGAAGTTGTTCTTAATGGTCTTATCTTATAAACCGTATCCTCTATCCATTATTACCAAGTACCTCACTTAATTTTATTTCCCCACCAGTCTCTTTGCATTCCCTAGCCCTCTCTCATTTTCGATTCTACTTGTTTTGTTCATGACCTCAGCTCTGGTCTTGACAAGTTGTATGCTGAGTCCCACAAATGTGTGTTCCTTAGTTATACTCGGTCACAAAAGGGTTATCGTTGTTACTCTCTCAGTTTTCATTGTTAATTTGTCTTGGCGGATGTTATCTTCTTTGAGTATACGCCTCCTCTTGGCTCTCCTCCATCACCTTTGTCTCCTGTCCCGATTGATTATACACCACCATCGCCGTCATTATCCCCTCTTACTCCAGATGTCTCAGACTCTGACCGACCCTTACAAGATTTTTGTCGTTCGCCGCCTCCGCCAATTTCCCATGCTCAAGAATCTGTTGTTGATGAAGTTCTTCTCTCCTCTGACGTCATCTCCGCCTACAGCTTCAGCCCTGCCCTCTAAGATTAACATGTGCAATGCTCTCCACAAAGGTATTTGTAGTTCTCATAATCCCTTACCTCATTATGTTACTTTGAGTTTTCATCGCCTATCTTCATTGCATTTTGTTTGCCTATCTCCTTTGTCTTTTGTGTCTATTCCAAAGACTACATGAGCTTTATCACATTCCAGATAGTGACAAGCTCTGATTGACGAGTGTGTGCCCTTCAAAGTGATGGTACTTGGGATTTGGTTCCCCTTTCCTTTGGGAAGTTTGTTTTTGGTTGTAGATGGATGTACACTGTCAAGGTTGGTCAGGTGAATCACCTTAAGGCTCAGAAGGTGGCTTAAGGATACGCTCAGGTGTTTGGCTTAAATTATGGGGAAACATTCTTCTCTGTGGCGAAGATGACCTATGTTCTCCTTTTCCTTAGTATGGTTGCTACCCATCACTGACCTATTTATTAACTAGATATTAAGAATTATTTTTTTCATGGCAATCTTGTTGAAGAAATCTATATGTTGCAAACTCCTAGGTTTAGTTTGGTTTGTTGTATCCACTAATCTATATATGATCTCAAACAATCTCCGTATGTTTAATTTGGAAGATTTAACATTGTTGTTAAACACTTTAACTTGATTCGGAGTGAGGCTGACCAATATAAACACTCATTTATAATAATCAAGATGTTTTACATATCGTCTCCAATGATTCACAAAAGACCTAAACATATTGAAATAGATTATCACTTCAACACATTTTGAGGAGATCATCACACATTTCGCAATTCAAGTGATTAACTGACGAATGTCTTCACTAAATCTTTAAGGTCCTTGAATGGATTACAATATAACAAGCTTGTGCATAATTTGTCTCATTCAACACTCAAAAAATTAAATGAAATCCACTTTTTTTCCCTTTTTTCTCTTTTCCTTAACAGATCCCACCCACTTGTTAGTGTTCTATAAAAAACATATTCCCCATAAATTATATGATCCAACTTGAGAAAGTGTTCAGAATTATTATAATAGAATAATTTAGTATAAGAGACAAAGTCCCACATCATGTATTATACCTGTATAACTCCTCTTGTTCACTTAGTATTAGTACATTCACTATGTACCTTAAAACACGAGAATTACATGTTTCTGATTTCTTTCTCATTCAAGAATTACTAAACCCTTTACATTTCTACTCAACCTGTAAAAAACTATCATGAACCCTAAAAGATTGCTAAGCACTCACCAAGCCTGATGCTAATTCTTTGTTCCTATCCCATCCCACAAAAATAGTTGAACCATCCATCATATGACAACGCATAGCTTCCTCGTATCTACACTCATCAGTGACTGTACACACTAATCAACGCAAAAGGGCTTTCAAATACATAAAATCTATTCCACCTATCATAAAAAACGGATGTATTGAAGATTATAGCTATGCTCTAGCAGACTGTACACCAGTCATCCCTCCCCCAAAAAAATATACAAAAAAATAAAATAAAAGAAGAATTGCAAAATTTACAGGTAAGCTACGAGTAACTATCAATCTTCAGGGCGTTGAATCTCACCCATCATTATCCGGTTGCTGGAGACCTTGAAGCCAAGAAGAGAAGGATCTATCTGTTTTCCTTTCTTCCCCTTCTTCTTGCCAATTCGCCCTGCTTGTCCACCATCAGATGACTCGGTCCCAGCTCCGCTGGCTGCATGTGCATCCACCTCAGGATGAACTGGCTTTTTGAGCATGTCCATAAATGATGTCTCTGACATGGCGCCTTCACTGAAAGAAGATGATCTGAACCGAATATCTTTTTTCCCAGAAGCCTGAGCATCAGTCATGCTACTAATTGACGAATTTCCAGAAGGTTCTCGTCTCCCTATCAAATAGATTATATACTTCACTTACTGCTGAGATGATAAAAGAAAAAGGAAATGCAGGCCAGTTAACAAATAACATACCTTCGCTGGATGTAAGATTTATTAAATTATTCTGATTGGTATGGGGTACAGATGGTTGGTCTGACTGAACATCAGGTGAGGATAAAACCCGAGATACATGAGGACGTTTATGGAAAGCATTATCAAACCCTTTTGTTGGAGGAGGCATCCTGTCAATAAAAAGACAGACATTCAAACCTCAAGTTTAATAACCGTTTTTCTAATAATAATTAGTCAATTTATGTCAATTTATCCATTCATGCATACAATACATGAACTGATCATGATGGATATATGCAAACCATCATTTTCCGAACAATTACACAGCATGTAGGAAATCATCAAATCAGATGCTTTACAGGGCCATCTTAAATATAAGTGATTCTTCTGCTACTACCTATACAAATGCGGCCCCAGCCCACTTTTCCAATTCGGAAGAGGTGTTAATTACAGGTGGACTGTGATAAGTTTATATACATATCAGCGTTTAGATAATAGATGAAATTCTTCATAGGTGCATTCAGAAAGTGTATGATGATTATAAAGTTTATGAAAAATGAAAAAATTTCATAAATGAAAATTTTGTAAACAATTGAAAAGTTTATGGGCTGCATTAAAATAGACTCATTGACCAACCAAACTACAACCGATGCCAAACCTACTGCTAAATGAGCAATAGCATGGTAGCTAAAAAATGAAGCAATGCATTTTACCCACAAAAAAGAAAGAAAGAAAGAAGTAATGCACCGTGTAGAACTTAGAACTCAACAGAAGTCTAATGCAATTCTCAGCCATCAGCCAGATCAAAAGATTCAAAGCATTTTCTAGATGGACCCAATTATCAAAATCTTAGATAACCAATTTAATTTTAGTCAAAAAAGTAAAATATCCAAAAAAAATATTACCTGTCACTAGAAATCTCATCTACACGCAAATTATTCAAAACAATCTCACGACCATATGAGCCCCCATCACCACCTGCAGAGTCTCATTCGTTATATTCAAAATTATATACAAGCACATCATCAACAAAGGATGGCAGTTATGTGATAAATTACCTGCACTGCTTAAAGAGCTATGTCTACTATGGGCAATAGCAGGCAGTTCCATAGAATTCATGGTGCTTTCCACTTGTTCAGACAAGTCTGACATCCCAGGAACTGACTTGTTAATTGTGCCTATAAATTCATGCCTCTGCCCCTTATTTGTCTCCAACTCAAGTAAGTCTTTCTCCATAGATGATTTACCAATCCGAAAAGGAATTCTGTAATTGGAATGTAAAGTATCCTTATTTGCAGATAACAGTGATTGTTCTTCAAGTAATGATCCGGATCTAGATCGAAGAGGCATTCTTTCAGTATTCCCTAGATTGTTGTATTGCTCATTAATATGCATGCTGGTTAAATGGTCATGCATTAGGGCACTGGAATTAGCACTTTGAACCCTATCTAAAAATGGGTCATTTGGATGGACTTGCTGATCTGGTGGAAGCTCAAAAGGATGCATTAATGAGCTAGCCTCAGAAGCATGCCAAGATTTGTCATGACTTCTTGATGAAAGAGGATGCCACTTATCAACAGGTGATGGTTGTGCGGATTGAAGACCCAGTTTTTGATGAAGTAGGTCCATAAAACCTCGCGCTGAACTCTCTTCATGAGCACCAGCAGATGCAGATATGTTAAGATCTGCCGATGTAACAGTATCCCCTAACTCTCTTCTCTGCCTCACAGCTTCAAGATGTTGTAGTTGAACACGTGGGTCAATCCAGCTATTTTCCACATGCCCATTGTTCCCAGAGAGAGAGCTCTTAAATGCATCTGCGTGGTGACCAAAAAGATCATCAGATGATTGTAGGTGGTGAGAGGATAAAGCCAGTTGATCAGTTGGGTGCACATAGCGAAGACGTTCTTGTAATTCCCTTCCTTGGACAGAAACAGGTGCAGACCTCTCAAACATCATAGGATTAGGCTCATAGAACCCTCTCTGGTTCTGCTCAGGAAGATTCCTTCCCAGATAATTTAATTGCTCCTCTTGTGCCACAAGCCTCTGCTGCTGTTTGTGAATATCTAAAACATTAAATCCTGCTGAATGACCCAACTGATGGGTTGCGGGATTTCTTACCAACGGTCCAGTTTCATTAATTGGCCATGACCGACCAAAATGTCTTTCCCCTTCCAACCCTAACTGCTGTCTAAGAGCCATGGATAACTGCTGTGCCTGAAGCTGATCTTGCTGAAAATGATGTTGTTCAGAAGGCAATATATTTCCATGCCTTGCTTGCAACAAGAGGTCTGACAAATCTGCTTGCCTTCCTTGGGCAGCATTGAGGCCTATATTTGCTTGTATGATCTGCTCCATTGATGGATCAAGGTGTCTTGAAGAATGTGAATTCTGCTGCAAGTCATGCAGATATCTCCTCAATTGTACCTGATCAAACAGGTTATCCCTAGAAAGATCATGTTTTGACTGTCCAAAATTGGGATCATGCATCTGCTGATGCATAAACTGTTCAAGGAGTAACTGCTGAACTTGCGACTGTTGCTGGGGCTGTAGTTTCATTTGTTGTTGAAGTAATTGTTGATGATGCATATCTTGCTGTTGTTGAAGCTCAAGCTGGCGTTGTTGAATCTGAAGTTCCAGAAGACGTTCAAAATCAGACCCTGCATTCTGCATCATCTGCTGCATGTTTGAGTTCTTGCTTTGAGAAAGAGAGAAACCTGGAAATCTCTCTAAATCTGACCCATTAAGATTTGCAGGGAAATGATTAGATATACTAGTCTGCTGCTGAAGCCGTTCCTTCTGCATCTTCTGCAACATGATATGCTCTGCCATATCAAAATTATTAAATTTTGGTCCCATATGAGACAAGAACTGATCTTCTAATGAACCCACACTCGGATTGGGATTAAATTGCCTCTGTATCCCATATTCATCAGGCCATGTCTCCCTGAAAGAAGGCTGATTAACCATTCCCCCAGCAGAGTTTTGATCAGCAAAAGGAGCATCTCTATCAATTAGAGGATCTAGAAAATGACCCTGGTCACCCAATCTCAAAGAACTATTGGAAGATTGAGCACGCCTTAAATGAGAGCCGTCTCTTAGCTCAGACATCAATAAACCAAAGGGATGCAATTTATCAGCCTCACTATGGTGAGTATCACCTCCTGCAACTTCATTTGCAACAGATTTTCCAGTAGGATGGGAATAGGAAGCATTAACATCCAAAGGCCACATCAAAGGGTTATCATTGACGTTTCCTTTCAATAAGGTGATATCTACAAATAAATGCATATGTAAATAGAAAGTAGAAATAAATGCATACATAACAAACATGGCCACACAAATAGATAAACAAAATAATAGTAGATATTAAATATGAAAATGGCAGAGTGAGAAAACAATAAATTACCCTCATTTTGTGCAACAATATTATTGAAGCACTGATCGTCAGAGAACTTGATTTCAGATTGATAACTTTGATTAGGTATTTGGGAAGGAATACCAATACTTGAGGTAGCATCAGGTCGGGATGAAGACCAGGGTTGATCATTGCTAACAGAAGACCCATCATAGTCAAAAGCATGTACATCTACTGTTAGGTTCCTTCCAATAGCATCAGATGGTTCTGATTGAGTAACCAGGTTACTACCAGAACCAAATGCTGATTTGACTTTCAGATGAGGCATGACACCTCCAAGTTCTTGAAATGGTGATCCTTCAGGGGCATCTGACACGCGAACTGGTAAATCTATCCCAAAAAACCCTTGTTCAAACCACATAATGATGTCAATCCCAAGAAAGGGTCCTTGAATTACCCCTTGAGGGTCCAGATAGCACAAACTCAACTCCTCAGGAGGAGTAACACTTTCAGAAGGATATGTCTTCTCATTAATCTTCAAGTCCAGTTGATTAATGCTTGGAATTTGCTGGAAAGATGAAAAATCAAAGAGAGAGCGAAAATCATCCGGTAGGTTACTACTGATTTCTGAAGCAGCAATTGATTCAGCACCATCCCGATTAACATTTTCCTGAAAAGCAGAAACTTGACCCTGATGGTAATCAAAAGTTTCTGATGCAGCAACTTTATTTCTGGAAATGCTTCCCTCCCTAGTGATGCTATTAGAGTTTTCATCTCTCCCATATACTCCAATAGTTGGCATATCTTTCCATTTGCCATCTTGAAAAGTTACTACTCCTGAGAATGATAGTAATTTTTATACCATTATTATATGTAAAGAAAATGAAAAATCTTACTTTCAATTGATTAGAGCAATAGAAATAAAGGAAAATATTATTTTCTCACCATCAACTACATTTCTCAATGAACCACCAGCAGTTGATGCTGAGCCAATAAAAATTTGATCAGAACTATTCGAGATATCAATTCCTGATATAAACCTTCCACCACTGCGAATTGAAGGTTGATTTTCATCACTTGAAGTAATACCAGGACCTGAAATAACACAAGGAAGACCACAATCAGGAAAAATAGAAGTTGATTATTTCAAAAGCACCAACTAAAATACATGCAAAATGTCACCTGAAATATCATCATTTAACCCGCCATCCTTTCCTCTAAAGGAGTGGCCTGAGACTTCACTGCTAGTAATTTTTCCCTTCCATATATCTTTAAGGACACCCTGAAAGAAAAGATACAAAACTAAATAATTATCAAATTTGATGAGCAAGTGGCCTTCAAGAATAATAAGATCAAAACATCACATCAAGAAGGTATAAGAAAAGTGTTTCTTCATCTTTTACATTCTGCATACCTCTTCCTCAGCAGCAGGAGCAACAAATGCTAATGGTTCTACAGGACCAAGTTGAGTTATTGGTGATGTGTGCTCCATCTCAGAAGGTATGCTTTCAAAAGTTGAATCAAACTTTTGCTTACGGTATATGTCAAGAAGCTTACCCCTGGGATAGTAATATGAATCAGCACCAAGGCTAGACTTACCCAATATAGCTTTGTTCTTATCCATAAGTGGAGATCCAACACCAGAGCCCAATGGAGGCCTTCCAATTTGTATGTTTCCATTGATATTTGCCCTTCCTCTTCCGGGTGAAAATCGTACATTGGAACCCTCTATACGTCCTTTTTCTAGCCCAAAACCAGGTGCAGCACGGTATGTGGCCACACCAGCTGCTTGAGCTTCCAATCTATGTCGTGGCCTCCATTTATCACGGGAATCAGCATCACGGTCAGAACCTGCACGGTTGATAACACCAGAAGATTGTTTCTCTGCATGACCATCTTCCTTCTCAACATCATTCCTTTTTTCATTTCTGGAATCCTTCTCTTTATCATCAGGACCCCATCTTGATGACCACTTGTTCTCTCTTCGAGAATCATGGCCAGAACCACGGCTATCATGCCAGCGATCAGAAGGCAAGGATCTATTCTCTGAGGTTGAAGTATTCTCCAAACGACGATCTTCTTTTCTGCGATCCCTTCTCCCAAGCAAGCTTGTTTCTCTCTCCTCCTCACGCCAGTGGCGACTGATGTCAACATCAGGAGCAGTCCTTCTCCAATCTTTCTTGTCCTGAGATCCCTCCAAACGCCAACCATCTTTCAGTATAGGATCAGCCGAGTTCACCTAAGGCAAGAGCCAAGTAGATGGATACCCAATCATTTTCCCATGACGAGGCAAATACTATGAATATTAAAGATATGCGAAAGTTAACATTATCAAACTTTACAATGCAAGAAACCACTCAAATATAAACTTAAAAATAAAGAATATAACTCTACAAAAATCAACTTTTAGAAATCAAAGCTGATTAATTAACTGAATAGATATAATAAGCAAAAGAAACTATAAAGCTCCAAGGGACACAAAGATCTATTTTAGTTTTGTAACTCCATCTTTGTATTAAGAGAATTTCACTCTTTACAAATATATAACACACAATAGTTCTTACCATGCTAATAGAGCAACCAAATCATCATTAATAGTTTTAATAAAGTCCCATGACTTTGATAAAATGCCTTGTCAAGAAAACATTTTTGTGATCTTGGGAGAATTTTTCAAATTGAAGAAATCAATTAAAACTCGAGAGGGTAAAATGCAGACGCATCTTCACTGCTTTAAGTTTTATAACAATAGTAACCTGGCAAATCGCAAACAATAATCACTCATTCTTAAATTGCAAACAAAAATATAAAAGGGTTCAGTAATCCAAAGACTTCCCTCCCAATTACCAACAAGCTGAGTGCAGCATTATAAAATCAAAAACACCTAACAAGCTTGCATGCACAAGAATACCATATTAAACTCTCCAGTCTCCAAAATGATGAAGAATAGCAACAGAATTCCCAAACATACAGTTAGGTTTCATGAAAAGAAAAAAGAACCTCTGATAATGCAAGTAAAATCAAAACATTTAGTATTACATACCCCCACCGGGTTGGCAGTTGTCTTTGCATCAATTGGTTTGGAATAAAGCCACTGTGGGGATAAGGGTATACTACTGTCAGATGACACTTGATCTGAAAGTAAAACCAGCTTTTATCAACCAACAGTCACCATATATGCATAAATGAGAAAAACGCAACAAAATGTTAGCTTTAACTTCACTTGTAAAAAGATAAACAAGATACCTTTTGAATCATCAAGAAGGGCAGCAATCCCTTTCTCTCCACCATGTCCTCCCGATGCTTCATCTAACACAACCAAAAAGCAAATGTTAGCCGCCATGTTATTCAAATTATTTTATAATTAAAAAAATGTCCAAAATATTGTAAGATAAATTAGATAAGATTTTGGAGAAAAAGCAAACCCACCCCCCTTCCCAAAATAGGCAGTTTTAGTGCTTTCTCGCAAGTTAGAAAGAGTAGTTTCTGAGGGGAAAATAATAAAAAGCTACATCACAAAAGAGCTTAATGACGGGATCTACAATATCTCTCACCACTTACAATTATATATCATCAAAGATTTAAAGAAAAAAAAAATCAACAGGCAAATCAAATCAACCCAGCCTTACACGCCGAAGAAAACAATTCCTCGAACACGATTAATTCAGCTTACTAATATATTAAACAACGAAATTTCCAGATTCAGATTAACAACACGAACAAACTGAACTCCACTCCATCCATCCAAACACAGCCCTAGAGAAAAAGAAAAAGAGAAGCCCAGTTCTCAACAAATGACAGTTCATAAATCATACTCACTCAAGCATTGACAGAAAACCGAGAAGAATCACGAAAAGTCTAACATAGATCAATCTCCAATCTAAAGCAAAGTCAACCCAAAAAAAATTATAAAAAATGAAAAGAAAAAAAAAACACACACACACAGAAAACAAAAACCAAAAAAATTAGAGCCACACAAACACCGAACCAAGCAGGAACAGGCATGTCGGGCACGCAATTGACACGCAGAATGAATCACGGATTAAGATTCAACGGATCCAGACACGAAGAGCAAGTAATGATTGCAAAACAAACAAGTGCAAGAATGAAGACGCGAACAAATAGGCTTTATGAGGAACCAAAACAAAAAAGCCCTAAAAAAACATTTCTGAAATATATTGAAAATGGAATCAATAACCTTTGAGAGAGGAGTGCAAATCGGAAGGCTTGGAAGAGAAGAGATCGTCGGGTAAATTGACCTTGCCGTCGCCCATCGCCATTGAGTTCGAGATTGTTGGAATTCGCAGACACAGAGATCCGAAAACGGAACGGAAGAAGAAGAAGAGGATTGAGATGGAATGCGAAGAGAGGAATGGAATGCGAAGAGAGCTAGGGTTTGAAGTGCGTCGAAGATTCAGAGAGAAAGGGTAGGGTTTGCGAATTGCAGTGTATAAGATAGAGAGAAGAAGAGAAGACTCAGGAGAATATAGAGAGAGAAAGAGAGAGAGACAGAGAGGTGAGGGTTTGGGTAAAGGGCTCGGGTGTGTGTATCATCAGAAACAAGGGACTGTGATATATTATTGTTTTTTTTTATTAACAGATACATTTAAAAATGAGGAAGGATATTGTAAGAACCAACTAATGTTATTACTAACGTTACTGCTAATCAATTTTATCGTTAGATCGATTATATTGATTCAACGGTTATATTTATTTCCATAGTGGTTTTTATATTTATTTTCGTCTTTGTATAATTATGATTTCTCATATTTAAAGCTTTCACATTAAATAAAAGGAATCATAACCATACAAAGATGAAAATAAATATAACCGTTGGATCAACATAATCAATCTAACGGTAAAATTGATTAGTAATAACATTAGTTGGTTGTTATAATATCCTACCCTAAAAAAAATAGAGTAAAGCCCGTATTGTTCCCTAATAAAAATTATGATTTTCACTTTCATTTCTTATAAAAAAAATATTCATATTAATCTTTTTTTTAGAGACTAAATTAGATCTTCATTTAATTTTTGATGGACCGCAACTTCAAAGAATTGAGACCGTAAAGGGATCAAAAGTTAATTATTTTTTTAATAAGAGACATAAGTAGGAATCGTAGTTTTTTCTCAGAGAACCAAAAGAGATTTTACTAAAAAAAAAAAATCATTAGATAAATTTTTAGTATCTATTTAGATTTAGATTCTTATTGTTTTCTTTTAAGGACGTTAATTTTCTGTTTTTTATTTTTTTTGGTAAACATTTTCTATTTTAATTTTGGGGAATCTCGTCTCTCTCTTTTCTGTTTTATTAAGATAATGATTCTTCTCTTTATTAAAAATTAGCTCTTATAATTTTTTTATAAAATATTAATTTTTGGAATATATAAATTGAGGAGGTATATTTTCACTACCAAAATTTTTCACTATCAACTTACTACCTATCTAATTACCATTAGATTAACATTTTCTCCCTCTTCAAAAACTTTTTGACATTCTCTCTCTTTGATCCAATGATGATGTGATAGGTAGTAAGTTAGTAGTGAAAATTTTTGGTAATTAGAATATTCCCATTCATATGAATTAATAAATATACAAAAATGTGAGGTCTAATTCTAAAAAAAGTATAGGTATTGAAATTTAAATAAGTGTAAATTTTATATAAACCAAATAAAATTCATCCCAAAATGCAAAAGTAAAACCCATACTCATATCATTGGTGGCCTAAATAAAAAAAAATATTGAATGGTGGTTAGTTAGTATATATTTTATTTTTATTTTTGGTAACTTTTTGCTTTGAATTCTAAAAAAAATTATTATTGTTATGGTTTTTATGATTTTTGAAAAATAATAATGAAAATATGAGTAATGTTTTTGTTATTAATAACAAAAATGTATTAAATTGAAGAAAAAAAAAACGAACAAAATACTAACTTTAAGTTCCCCGGTGGAGTCATGCTCGTTCGTGATACTAATTCCACGTCACCCTAATCCGTTTTACGCATGTAGTTGGAAGGACGAAGGAAAAAAAAAAGGCTTGTATGGCTATCCACATCTCTTTAAGTTTGTGCATTTGGAGTGAGAATATTAGGGTGTGCATCACAATTTTCTCGGAATGAGTTTTTTTTTTTAATTTCTATTTCCAGGAATAAAAATGGATGAGAAACTCGTTTGGTAAAATCGGTTTATTTTTTTGTTCCCGGAATGAACCGGTTTATTTTTTGTGCTGGGGAATAAAAAAAAGAATCAAAAAATTTCTGCTTCTCTGAATCCAGGACACAGAAACAGAATCAGTTTTCTCTATTCCAAGTTTTCCCTCCCTCTCTCACTTCTTCGTACGCACTCACACACGAACACCAACCATCACAGGCCTTCAACCATATCACCCCTCCCTTCAGTTTTCACGAGAATCAGTTTTCATGGCTGAAGTTCTTCGTCTCCTTCGACGTCTTTTTCTATTCCTTCACGAGAATGCCACAGCTACCTTGTTTGGTTCTCTACCATCTTTAGCAAGCTCCCTTTGTAGTCTGTAGAATGCCACAGCTACCAACTGGTTTGCACTTGTCCCCACTCTGAAATCATAATTGTATACTAGCAACATTAATGGAAAATTATGGCTGCACATATTCAATTGTAGAATCATTAGCAGCAGTCACAACTCCAGTCCATTATCATCATAAAACAAAAACAAAAATTGGAGTTTTCTGGTTAAGCAAATTTTTATACGGTCTTAAAAAATTCATGCATTTTCCAAAAACATGTAAGAAAAGTAAAATTTCTTAAAATCTAATTCTACTAAATGATTTCAAGCTACGAATGGGGCTTAAAAAGGAGGAGTTTAAACCAGTTTACAACTTGGTATTTAGATAACGCATCAATTTTCAATTTAGCTTTTCAGCACAAAATTTCCAGTGTTGTTCAACCAGTGGAACTGTGGAAGCATTTTGGAGAAAGTAGTTGCGGGAAGCCTGATTTATAAATTTCTTGATGATAACACATTTTTTTTAAAAAACTATATAATAAAATTTATAAATTTTTAGATAATTTTTTTAAATATAAAATTTGGCATTTTGGTTACAATCTATTGTCATTTGCTATTTTACATAGTTGATGAAATCTATAAACAAAAGTAAAGAAATAGATTTTCATTGTGTTATCAAACGTAATTCTGATTCTCAGAATAAAAATAAAATATGTTATCAAACGTAATTCTGATTCTCGGAATAAAAATAAAATATGTTAACAAACATAATTCTGATTCTCAGAATTGTTCCAAGGCACAGAAATAGAAAAGAATCATTTCTTTTCAGAAACAGTGCCAAGAATCAGAATGATTGTCATGCGCAGCCTTAGTGACTCGTCCTCTTTTTAACATGCCAAAACAAGCACAAAGAGGCCAAGAAGTAAGACAGGTCATACCTCAAAAAAATTAAATCAAAATGATCCTATTTGAATTTTGAATGTTTAATCTCTTCATTGATGTACTTGTGGGACAATTTTTTTTATTCAAAATGGTTTAATTCGATTTTCTCAGTATTATTTTTTCCATTTCTGAATTTAAATTCAAAACTTCTAATTAAAATAAACGAGAGGTTATATTTACTATTTTTTTTACTATCAAATCTTAACTGTTGATCTCCGTCAATCTAACGGTTATAATTTATTGGAAATTAATAATTATTTAATAAATATGACCCAATAAATTATAACTGTTAGATTAACGGAAATCAACGGTTAAGATTTAGTAGATAGTAAAAAAAAGATATAGTAACTATAACATCCCCATAAAATAAATAAACTTTTTGTCACTTAAATAAATGATTGTTAATCGGATAAATTAATATTTAATGAAAAATTTAATTACGTATATAATTTAAGGGTTTAATATTTTTCATATGGAAAGAGATAATTTTTATCCTTTATACCCATATAAAAGTATATGGGATTCATATTTTCTTTCTCTCTTTTCTCCTCACACACTTTAATATATGTATAGAAGATAAATTTATCTCCTATAATATAAAAAAATACTAAGCCCATAATTTAATTATCTTTAAAAAATTACAATAAAATTTAGAGTGACGTTTGATATGCTTTATAGCATATCAATGCAATGTAGAAGAAAAAAAAACGTTGGGATGTATTGAGATTGAACAGCTTCAACGGAACTTCATTTGGGGTATTAATAAAGCTCATTTAGTGGCTTGGGACACAATGTATAAGCCGAAGGAAATGGGAGGTCTTGGTATTATCAGATTGCGTACCCAAAATGAGGCTTATATTCATAAGTTGGCCTGAAAAATCTTAACTAACAAGGAGGGACTTTGGGTTAAGATTTTGAGAGCCAAGTATGGCAGAGGTAAAGATTTGAGGCGTGAGATAAGCTCTAAGCCTTATGATTCTAAACTTTGGCGGGACCTTTCTAAATGTTGGAACAGTTTTTTAGCCGGTCTTCGATGGGAGGTGGGTGATGGAGAGACTATTAAATTCTGGGCGGATAATTGGTTGAATCTGGATGATAATCTTTGTAATTTAGGTCCTAATCATATTCTTGATCTGGAATTGCATAGAACCGTTGCTGAGATCTTTCAGCATGGTACCTGGGATGTTCGATATTTGAAGCAATTCTTAAATGATGAGCTAATCTCTAAGGTGTTTTGCGTTCCTGTTGCTTTGGAAGATAATACTGAGGATAGGTTAGTTTGGTGTCAGAATCACGTGTCCTCTTCCTTAGTTAAGGTTGCCTACTTGAACTTGATGAATTTTCAACATGCTCAAAGGAATGTTCCCTGGAAGAAGATTTGGGACTGGAAGGGTCCAGAAAGAATCAAGACTATGATGTGGCTGGCTTTTCTTAATAAGCTTCCAGTTAGGAGTCGTACATGCAAATGGAACGGGGGTCCTAATTTTTGCATTAACTGTCCAAACAGTGAAGAAACTCTTATTCATGTCCTTAGAGATTGTTCTCAAGCCAAAAGATTATGGATAGATTGGTTTGGTAGAAGGGTCCCCAACGATTTCTTCACATTAGACCTACAGCCTTGGCTCATCAAAAATGTGAGTAAGGGTTGGAATTATCAAATTCATGTTGATTGGAGAGATGTTTTCTATACTACTTGCTGAAATCTTTGGAATTGGCGTAATCATCATATTCATGATGATAGTTTTCGAAGGCCAAGCAATGATAAGCGTGTCATTTTTGATTTTATTGCGCATTTAATTGAAGCTAGAGGTAAGAATAGAAGCATTCTTGGAAGCTTCCCTAATACCCATCAGCCTACTAAATGGTGTCGTCCTGAACCTGGTCGATTGAAGATTAACACAGATGGTGCTTCTTCCCTATCTAGGCAGCATGCTAGCTGAGGAGGCCTTGCTAGAGATCACAATGGTGCTTTTCTGGGTGGTTTCTCTTTCAGACTAGGTTTCTGTAATCCTCTTGATGCAGAACTCTGGGGTATCCTCAAAGGTTTAGAGCTGGCCTGGGGTACTGGTGCTAGGAGAGTGGAGTTTGAATGTGACTCAGAAATTGCTCTTAGCACTATCCAAGAAGGGAGCAACAATCACAGAAACTCTCAGGTTGTTTCCCGTATTCACAAATGGCTTGCTGAAGATTGGGATGTTCGTTGGGTCCACACCTTTCGAGAAAATAACAGATGTGCTCACTGGTTTGCTTCTAGGCATTTTGAGGATGATAATAATCTTATTGTTTATCATTCTCCTCCTTCTTCTTTGTTAGAGCTCTTTCTTCAGGATGCTTCTGTAGATCTTTTAAGTTCTCGCGTCGTGTAATTTTTGTTTTGTTTGGGGCTTTTGCCCCTCTTTATTACAAAAAAAAAAATGTATAGTCTTCCTGAATTTTGGGTTTTTATAAATAGTTATTTGAATTTTAATAAGGTGTGAGTATGTTGTATAAGATTATATGTCAATTCACCTTATATTTATTATTTTAATATTTTAGATATGGTATTAAAATAAGGAGAATATTATATTTACAAATTTTTTGTTTACAAACTACATTATAGGTGTAAATGGGCTAGGTCGGCCTACAGGAGCCTATGGCCTAGCCTAAATTAAGTCAGAGTTGGTCTATTATAAATAGTAAAATAAAACAGGCCTAAGTTTTTAAAAAACTCTATGTAGAAAACAAGTCATAAGCTTTTTTGTACATGTCGGGCCTATAAACCTACACGCCGTCCTATATCATATTATTGATTTTATATAAAATAAATAAAATTATGATTTTATTAATTTTGAATAATAAAGTAAAATTATTTTAGTTATTCTTTTAATTGTTGAATATTTAATAGGTTTAAACAGGCTAACAAGTCTAGGTCAAGACTTTTATATTTTTTATATAGGTTATGTCAGACTTGTAATTTGGGGCCAATATAACACCTCACATTTCTAAATTAAATATTTAAAATATTAAGTGAGTATTTAAGTGAAGGATTAGTGAAAATCCTAAAGACTAGGCCAAAATACAAAGAAAGGGCAAAATGGTAATTAGCCAATACGCAACCCTAGCAAGATAAAAATTGAGTAGAAGGTCTCAGATGATAAAAATAACCCTGGAAATGGATTCAGAATGAAAAATTGAGTGGATGGGCAAGTTTAAGAAAAATCAGTGAATAGTGCTTTTCGAGGGTAAAAATATCGCGGTACGATTGCATCGTAAAACGTGCCAGTTGAGTTTTGAGCTCTAGGTTTCAAATATGAGTTATAAATGGTCTATTGAGTTAGGAAATATGATTTTTGATAAAATCTGATGGAATTAAGTCATTTTGGGGAAGCGTGCCAACGTCGCGCGCAATAGCTTAAAACAGTGTTTTCTCCGAACGACCGGAAAACTCCGGACTCACCTAATCAAGTATAATTAAAGGAGAATGGTTAATGTTAAAAATTAGAGTTTCTAACTAGGTTGTGAATTTACGGACATTTAGTGGAATCGTAGAGAAATCCGGATGAGTTTTAAATCGCGTGAGGCGGCGTGGGACCCACCCCACTTAAAATCCATTTAATCCACCTCATCACCACTATTCATCATCACCTTCTCTCCCCTCCTTTCAGCCCAAACCCGTGCAGCCCCTTATCTTTAGCCATTTTAGGTTCAAAATTTTCTTCCTTGATAAATCCTTCATTTCTCAACCAAATCCCTTGATTTTTGTGTTGAAATTCAATGGAAATCACCTTCTAAACACATTGGTACCACTCTTGAGCCTTGAAACCGCGTATTTGGAGAGATATTGGCCATTTACAGCCACGAGATTTTGGAAAAAAATGGTTGTTCATGGAGCTTTTTGATCTTCCATTGCTTGGAGGAGTCTTGGGGTAGCTTTTAGCCTTTGTTGTGAGTATGTTTCCATCCCATTTACATGGTTTAATTGTGATTTAATTTTTGGAAACCTAAAGCTTGATTTGATGATGTGTTGTGTTAGGGAGCTCAATTGGAAAATGTGTATTAGATGATAATGCCTTAGAATGATGTATTAAAGCTAGAAATGCAATAAAAATTTTAGGTGAAAAATGTTGATTTTAACTTAGGAAAATTTTGAGTGCTTATGATGTGGAAATTTGGAAATGTGTTGAGATGTTAGTAATGAGTTGTTGAATGATTGTATGATAAAAATATGAGATTGTAGGTGAAGTGGAATGGTTGAAAATAGGAAGAAATCCTTTGGGATTCCCTAGGGCATAATTCGGCCATTGTTTGAAAAATGAGTAATTGTGTTGGAAAAATAATTTGAATGGTGTAATGTGTAACTAAATGGTCTTTAGATGGGTTGTGTGATGGATTGATAGTGGAAGAATCAATGGAAATTAATAACTTGTGTTTAGGGACATAATGAACCTAGAGTAAGCTATTTGGTAAAACGATGCTTAAAAGACGTAAAACGACGAAACGACACTTGAATTAGCTTTATGGCAACCTCAGGATGAGTAATAAAATTAGAAAGAAAATTTAGAAAAATAAATCTCAAATTAACACTACTATGGCCGAACCATCAAGGAGGATAGGGAGGAATTTTGTGATTTTGCGTTCTGATGTTATTGGACGCATATTGATGGTTGTACATGGTTGTATAGGTTACCGTACGTCGACTTGAATCCCGAACCGTGAGTCGGTGGATTGCCCTTGGTCTTGGACCAAGTGGATTGAGGTAAGTGATTGTATTATGCATGTGAAATTGAGAATTGGCATGCATTTTGTGAACTGTGAGTAAGTGGGAACGTCCTATGTGTAGGCGTTCTGTTGAGTAGCAGACTTAGAACTTAAGCTGCTGCGGAGCTAAGTGAAGGAACGAATTAAGGTAACCTCTTGGTACTGGGGCTTGTTCCCCTTTTCTGATCCACCTTGCCAGTTGATGAAAACGGTAGGAAGTGTATATGAGTAGTGTAGAACACATGAGCATGCATGCATTATTACAGTGGGTACTTATGTACCGAATCTCTGGCCAGTAGACAGTTTTAGCCTTCGGGCAATTTCGGACTTCCACTGGATAGGTCTCCGAGAGGGAGTTCCAGTTGACCTAGGGTCGTGGTGTGTGATCCGGATAGGAGCACACTGGGAATGTCTCGGGTGTTATGGTTGGTTTGGGCATCATGGTTGTGGTTCTTGGAACACACGTTGGATGATACCCGTAGGCTTATATATGCCCAGGGCGTGCGTGGTATTGGTAGCTACCATCTCGCATCGTCGTATTTTGTATCTCGATATTTCCCAGTTTCTCTAAATCCCTTGCTTTATTCCGTTTTGAAAGTGGTTGTTTTATACTATTGATATGCATCGAAGTGAACCATTGGGCGAAGTTTTCTCCAGAACCTCTGGGTTACTGAGATATATTCGTATATCTCACCCCGTCTCGGGGCATTTATTTCAGGAGGTAGCAGTGGAGCTGGAGCAGCGGACAAGAGGCCCGCAGAGTGAGCAGTGGACTGCTTAACATTTTGCATTTTGTGGGCCGTGTGGCCTAGGCTAGACTTAGGGCATGAACATCTCATATGTATGTAGGATGAACTTCATTAGCATATTTGTTCATGCCATTTTGCCTAAGTCTAGTAGTCATGTCATGTAGTTTATCTTACCATTTGTATTTAAGTTGTAATATTGGAAGATTATAATTAAGTTTAATTTGTAAGTTGTAAGTTGTAAAGCAAATATTGTAATTGTACCTTGATGCACGACAAGTTATGATGGAAGGGCCTTAGGCCTATTTTAGATGATGATTACAAGTATGATGAAAAAAATGCATGAAAGTGATGTTAGTGATTGCAACTATTTAAGAATGATTAAAGTGAGCTATGTGTCTAATAACTATAAACTGGATTGGGTTGTAAGTGCCCCAAGGCGTTGTTGGTCCTTGTGTGTGCCACCCATTGGATTATTACTGTATTATTATGTGATTATTAGGTACATTTGAGGCATAAATGAGCTTGTACAAATTTGGGGATTTAAGGAAAAACAAAGGAAACTCTGGCGAATTTTCTGTAGAATTGGCAGATTTTAGGCAAACTTTGGGAGAGCATATCTCCCTCCACAGAGGTCCAATAGGGACGTTCCATACGCCATTTTGAAGCTTGAGATGTCCCCTACATGGTGTCAAAATATGGTCAGGTTATGAGCTGCACGAAGCTCTGTAGAAATTGTGGAACACAGACTGTACCGGTACCTCTGATACAGGGGCTGTTCTGGTCCAGTTTTGAGAATTTTATTCTCGCTTGGTTTCTTGGTAAAATTAAGCGTATGATATATCAAATCGAAGATTGAGGTGTCTAGTTTATGGTGTAAAAATTTTAGGGCAATTGGACAAGTGGATTCAGTGCAGTAATTCAGAAAGTGAGGGATGTTTTGTGTCGTTTTGGGGTTGGTTGGCTGTTTTGCTTGTCCAACTTCAAACGGCGATAACCGGAGCAAATGAGCTCCGATCTGAGCGTGTGATAGCTTGTTGGAAAGGGAATTAATTAAGAAAAAAAAATAATCTGAGAAGAAGGTCTGTTGTGAGCGGTGTGTTTGCAGAAAATTAATTAGTGAACCATGTTTAAATAAGTAAAAACGTATAGTTTAGTAATTGGCTAAGTGGGTTTATGGGAACCCCTTAGTGACTTATAATAAGGAAAGTGTAATCTAAAAATAGTTAAAATAAATATTCCGCAAGAGTTAACAGTTATAGTCACAGTTTTTAATTATTACGCTTTTTATTGTTTTAAATGCTTGCGTAATAATCGGAAAAAGTTTATTCGCATTTTTATAAATGAATTGCTGTGATTGTAACTGCGCTTAATATCATAATTAATGTTAACAATACCGGTACGTAACGGGCTGTTACAGCCTATATAGGGTAACGTGCCAGACTAGACCAAATTTTTTTAATAAAAATCTGACCTATTTAAACCAAATTCTAGCCTAACCTAGCCTATTTATACCCTAAAACTGCACTATGTCTGACCGATAATATACTCTTGAGTAGAGAATTATCGTTCAGACATAGTGTAATTTAAAAGTTTATAAGCGAATACTTCCCTTGACAAAATTAAGGGTCTGATTGATTGTGCTTTCATTTTTTTATTTTTAAAACAGTTCTATAGAATAGTTTTTAAAAACTATTTTTCAGAACAAAAGAAGAAAAAAATCTGTTTGATAAAATTATTTTTAAAAGAGTTTTAAAACTTAAAAAAGCAAAAAAATTGCTTGGTAATTTTGTTTTAAAAACATGTTTTCAAAGTCAAAAAATAGAAAACTCGTTTGATTACTTTTTTTTTTGTCAATTTCATTTAATAATTTTTTTTAATCG